TCGGCATTCTTATGATGTAAGCGCTTACCTCGGCAGGGCATTCAAATGCTTATAAATAGGGGTCTACATTTTCATTTGTAGATCATCCCAAAACTTCTTCTTTCTCTCTTCAATTAATAAAGAGCTATTCTTTGTGTGGCCGTGGAGTAGGCAAAAATTGCCGAACCACGTAAATCTTGTCTTGTCTTGTCTTGTGCAATTTATTGCTTTTCTCTCTTAAATATCCTTTTCCTTCTATTATCTTGACACGCTTCCTCAACATCCCGCACCCGCTCTCGTCCCGTGTCAAGACGGGTGCGGCACCAAAAACGAAGAGTCCGCACAACTTAAATTAACACTTGAAGTTGTAGTCCCAATGTCAAGGATCTTTACTGTTGTTATATGCATACTTACTCAAGAGGCCTAAAGGGCAGCCCGATGCACTAAGCTCCCGCAATAGGCGGGGTTCAGGGAAGGGCCGGACCACAAGGGTCTATCGTACACAGCCTTACTGTGCATCTTCACTGTTGTTATATGCATACTTACTCAAGAGGCCTAAAAGGCAGCCCAGTGCACTAAGTTTCGGCTATAAGCGGGGTTCAGGGAAGAGCCGGATCACAAGGGTGTATCGTAAGCAGTCTTACCCTATATTTTTGCAAGAAGTTATTTTCACGGCTCAAACCCGTGACCTCAAGAGGCCTAATTGTCAATAATATCAAGCAATCTGGTTCCAAACATGGACAAAAGAGAACTTCAACCATAAGAGTGACTTCATCGCTGATGTAGAGGATGAGCTTCGTGGGGTAGAAACAGTAATAAAGGTAACATTTATGCACTCACCGCAAATTAACTTCTAGTGGAATTGACTGACGCACATTGTGATATTCAAAATTGGATATAGTTTCTGTCACAACAATATTTTATTGATGATTACTCTTGTCGTTACAATGATAGGTTGATAACATGATTGTGCTCATGGATTTGTAACATTGCATACAAACTCTCTAGATTACTTATAGGTCTGAAAATGTTCCCATTGATTTGTGTTAGTTGCTACTTACAACAAATGGACTCCGGACTTTGTACTTACCATTTGTCCAAGTAATTGAGCCAAACAGATCCTCCTTTGAGGGAGATGAAGCTTTGAAAGACACTTCATAGCTTAATTTCTTGCTTTTATAATTAAATTCCAATTTACTTGGAATCACTTGGACTTCCAATCCTTTTGGTGCCTCAATGATTGCAGTATATACTGATGCTTCTTCACCAGTATTTGTAACTGTTCTAGTAACTTTCTTCGGCTCGTTTTCTTTGAGACTAGAAATAGCTATTGATGGATAATTCATATTAGAAACCAATTCAGAGGTTGGGTTTTTTGGGCATGAAAAGTCCTTAGGAACTGTACTTGAGATCAGCTTTATCTGTGATATGTTAAAGCCAGCAGAACATAGGAACTGCAAGTAGTCGGCGACATCTGTCTCGTAGACTAGACCTGGTTTTAATGGACCTGAAGTGCTTGCTTCTCCTGCACCTATGTCATATGGTGTTGCTTTGGATCCTGAGACTGTAGTGATTGGAGCCTTCAAATTGTTTATCTGAATAGCTGTTGAAAATTTGGAGTAAGCAACGGTATCACTAAAACAAAAAAATAGTTACTAGTTTACTTTTATTAGGTTCTTTACCTGTGGTCATAATAGCTGATTTGACAGCTGAAGGACTCCAGGCAGGGTTAACTGCTTTGACAGTTGCAGCAATACCGGATACGTGAGGGCAGGACATGGAAGTGCCTGAGAGTAGGTTGAAAATTGGTGGTTTTTGGCCGGGGAGAGCCTCACTCGTGTCATTTCCAGGCCAAGCAGCAAGAATGGCAACCCCTGGTGCTGTAATATCCGGCTTCAAGAACAAATGAAAATCCATTTAGCCCATGTTTTACTGCGCCCAGCAAACTTCTGTTAAGAATACAATCAAAGATGAAATGTTGGCCTTACTTTGAGGAGGTTAGGGGTGTTGTACGCAGGGCCTCTTGATGAGAAGTAAGCGACAACTGGAGCTGGTTTGTACTTTGTTATGGAAACAGTTGGTAAAATTGATGCAATGGGATTCCTTCAGAATTTTGAAGAATTGTTAACTGTTGTGCACTTAGGAACTATATCAAACCAATCAATTATATCAAATCCCAAATTTCTTGGAGTATAGTATAAGGATCTTTTATAGGGTCCATTTCATTCCAATACCAAATAATTAAGTCTTTTAAAGTAAAAGTACTCTAAAAAACTAGGAGTCCTACGACGAATTTGCTTGGAAGGTTCAATGGCAACGAGAAGGGGACTCTTAGCTCGTTGTCAGATAGAGTCAAAATCTACCCTGAGGTCCCAAATTAGACCAATGGAATTCTGTCTGTCCGATAAATCTCACAATTGTCCTCAAATTAACACTAATTGTTATACTGTCATACAAGTCTTAATCCAGATTAAAAAGACTCTTGACAAATATATGCAGCAAGTAGAAAATAACAATTAAGCCTTAATCTCCACAATTTGAAATATAGCCTACTACTGGAAACTAACAGTGATTACCTAGTCGAGTTAATGTAGGCAAGGATCTCAGTACCATCCTTTTTAGAGACTACACCTGCTGGGAAGGAATTGAATTTGGGTGCCACAGTTCTTTCATCATCATCTATTAGTATAAATCCAACTCCACCTCGACTCTTCACT